TAACCTGATCGGTGAGCGCCCACTATCATAATATATATATATATATATATATATATATATATATATATATATATATAGATGAGATGATACCGACAAAGACGAGGGAGACCGGAATGGCCATTTCTGGCTTATTAGCCGTCATCAGCCAGTCATACCCAACGCCAAGTGTGGATCACTTGAGATTCGAACCCGGGATCTTTGGTCATGGAGGTTGACGCTCTACCATTGAGCCACGGGCCCGTTGTCCTGTCGGTTGTGATCGGGAATATCAATTATGACAGTGGGTGCTCGCCGATCAGGTTACGGAACATGCTCGTTCCGTTGTGCCTTGGGGCTCATACTAGAACCCTGGCAGGCAGTCGCACAGCGACTAGTGGTAGACATAGATGAGATCATACCGACAAAGACAAGGGAGACCGGAATGGCCATTTCTGGCTTATTAGCCGTCGTCAGCCAGCCATACCCAAGCCCGAAGTGTGGAACACCCAAGCCTCGAACTCGCGACCTTTGTCGGTAATGCTATTCTGCCTATATATCATGCGTCGCTGTGCGGCTGCTGGTTGGGCTCGAGAGAGAGTCCATAAGGCACAACGGAACGAGTGAGTTCCGTATGAACGATCGGTGAGCGCCCCCTACCACCATATATATATATATATATATATATATATATATATAATGTTAGGGGGCGCTCACTGATCGTTCATACGGAACTCACTCGTTCCGTTGTGCCTTAAGGGCTCTCTCTCGAGCCCAACCAGCAGCCGCACAGCGGCGCATGATATATAGGCAGAATGATATTGGGCTCGAGAGAGAGCCCCTAAGGCACAACGGAACGAGTGAGTTCCGTATGATCGATCGGTGAGCGCCCCCTACCATTGTATATATATATGTGCTGTAATCTTACTTATTTTCAATATATATATATATATATATATGTATACACAAATATGGTGCATATTTATGGTATATATGGTAGACATATCATACATACATTTATGAAAAGTGGGCGCTAATCACTCGAGTTACGATAACTGCTCTTCCCGTTGTGCCTTGAAGCCCAAACTAGAACCCTCTCAGATAGATAGAATGGTGACGATAAAGACAGCGGCGCCGTGGCTCAATGGTAAAGAGATTCCGTATTCTCACTCGAACCCCCGATCAGCGAAGATCGCAAATAAGAGCAGTAGATGCACAAGGGATGCAGTAATTGCAGGATGTAGTTACTGTGAAAGCGCATGTTTGTCAAAACTGGCAGCTTTCACAGTGATCGCCTATATTCACACTTGGTACGCTAATGACTTTATCGTTCGCGTCCGAGACACGGGTGTCCGCGATTTCATCACCAGTTATGGTGACAGGCATGATACCTAGTCAGCCACAGTGTCCTGCTACCGGAAGAACCGCTCGTATTCTCGCTTATCGCAGATTACTCTGAGAGCTGAACAGCCAGATGGTCGACCAGCGCATCAATCCCGCAATTTTCGACTCGCACGAGAATTTTTGCACTGTTCAGTTGTAAGATGCAACCAGACCTTCCGATGGTAACAGTCCTTATGTCCCACCACCAAATATCAACGCAGTCTCCGTCACCCCTGCTTCGCCTCCTGCGACGACAACCACGATTACCAGTTCTTTCGTCCACGCTACCGATGAGAAGATTTGTGATGACTCCTCAAACACCACCCCCAGCACCGGTGATGAAGACTCGCCCCCAACTTGTCTTCATTGTGATTGCACATTTGCCATACGCATTGGCCTGGTCGGTTGCTTGCGAATCCACCGCAATTCGACCGGAGCACAAATAATAATAGTCCCCACACACGCTCGTCGCCTTGTGCAAAAGCGGCTGCGCGAGATGCAGAGCGTCTGGACGGCTCGCAAGACCGCGGAGATCAGGGGGTCCACGGACCACAACGAATAAAAGAACGTCTTCTCCGCAATCAAGGCTGTCTACAGTCCGCCAGCTAAAGTAACTTCACCTTTTCTCCGCGCAGACGGCAATACCCAACTCACCGATAAGTCAAATGCTACAGCGATGGGTTGGGCACTTCCGAGGCGTCCTCAACCGCCCCTCCATCATCTCCGACGCCGCCATTGCCCGTCTGCCTCAAGTGGAGACTAGAGCGGACCTAAACCTACCGCTCTCTCTCTCTCTCCACGAAACCGTCAGGGCCGTGCAGCAGATTTCCAGCGGAAAAGCGTTCAGATCGGACGTGATCCCTGCTGAGATTTACAAACACGGTGGTCTCCAACACATGGATCATTTGGCTGAGCTCTTCCAGGAGAAGTTACGTCAAGAAGAAGTCCCACGGGATTTCAAGGACGCCAACATCGTGCATCTACACAAGCGGAAAGGAAACCGCCAGCCCTGGAACAACACCGAGCCATATCCTTGCTGAAAATCGCAGGGAAAAATTTCGCTCGCATCCTTTTCGGCCGTCTGAACAATCATATAGCAAAAGGTCTTCCGTCGGAAAGCCAGTGCGCCTTCCGTCGTCATCGTGGGACCACGGACATGGTCTTCGTTGACCGGAACGTCAGGAGAATTGCCAGTACATGTGGGTCCACCTGTACTCTACATTCTTGGGTCCGACGAAAGCATTCGACAGGGTGGATCGTGACGGATTGTGGAAATTCGACTGTTCCGAACGATTCACTCGGATGGGACGTCAGCCCCACGATGGCATGATGGCGCGCATCACGGACGATGGAGCTGTCTCACAGGAATTCGCAGTGATTAACGCAGTGAAGCAGGGCTGCGTCCTCGCGCCTACCCACTTCAGTCTCATGTTCTCTGTCATGCTGGTGGATACCTACCGTTACGAACTTCCTGGGATCCGCATCGCCTACAGGACGGACGGCCACCTCCTCAATCAGCGACCGATGCACTTCCAGTCTCGTATATCCACAAACACCGTCCACGAACTTCTGTCCGTCAATGGATGCGCCCTCAATGCAACTAATAAAGGAGGCATGCAAAGAAGCATGGATCTCTTTTCCGCCGCCTGCGAAAACTTCGGTCTGATCATCAACACGGCAAAGACAGTGATAATGCGCCAACCACTACCCGACGCTGCCTACGTTGCGGTCCAACTGCAGGCGGTGGATAACTTCACGTATCTGGCAGCATCCTCTCCCGCAGCACCAAAGTCGACGATGAAGTGGCCTGCCGGATTTTTTAAGCCGGTCAGGTCTTCGGTCGTCTTAGAAACGTAGTTTGGAATCGTCATGGTCTTCAACTCAGCACGAAACTGATGATGTGCAAAGCCGCTATCCTAGCGACACTGCTGTATGCAGCGGAGACCTGGATGGTGTATATGAATCAGGCACGAAAAGTCGACTACTCCCACCTCAGTTGCCTTCGTCGAATGCTGAAGTTGTGGTGGAAGAAGCAGATCGTCAACACGGATGTACTGGAAAGGACGGGAATCCTCAGCAGTAACATTAAGCTGAGACAACTGCAACTGCGTTGGGGCGGTCATATCGTACGTATGGACGACGAGAGCCTACCCAAAGGACTCTTCTATGGAGATTTTGTGACGGGTTCACACCGACAAGGTGAATAAGTCCGGGGCTACAAGGATGCTTCGAAAACCTCCTTAAAGCGCCTGCAGATCAACCAGACAAACTGCGATGACCTCGTCGGGTACTGACCTTCGTGGACGTGAACAGTGAAGACGGGCGCAGCAATCTTCGAAGCCAACCACATCACCGCCGCTCAAGCCAAACGCGAGACACGTAAATCTCAGCTGCCACCGCCGCCGCTTCACAACTCCAACTTCTAACCGCCTCCAACGTGTCCACGATGTTAACAGACATTCCGGGCGACATCTGGACTTGTTAGATCACCTGCAGCACCCGTGCTGTGCCAACAGTCGCCTCTCCGTCCACCTCTCCCTCGTCACTCACGCCCTCATCTACTGCTGACCGCTCTTTCGAACCACCACTTCCATCTTTCTCCTCCTCCTCCTCCTCCTCCTCCTCCTCCTCCTCCTCCTCCTCCTCCTGCACTGCCTAAACATCTGCCGCTGTGGTGTCTGCCATACCCATCAATACTGCACCAAATCCAAACACACTAACAAACACTAAAACCGTCATTGTCAACACCAGCAATGAGGACGTGGTCTATACCTTTCTTCATTGCGGTCGCAACTTCACCTCACGTATCGGCCTGGTCGGTCACTTACTAATCCATCGCACAGCGACTGGCGAACCAATGCCTGGAGCACTTACCCACACTCCCTGCATCCGCCTCCACATTGCAGTCGCAATTTTTTCACCGCATGCGTCTATTAAACAACATGGGCATCGACAAAACCCTGCAGTAGACAACCACCTGCTGCACCACACCATCACACCACCATCATCACCACAGCATCTCATCGCACACCATCATCATCATCATCATCATCATCATCATCATGATCATCATCATCATCATCACAAGCACCCAATTGTCACCTCCCACGCGGGTGGGAAATGTGCGTCTCGGCACCTTCTCCATGCGGCTCCCCCGCTGCATGTGTGATCGAAGTCTGAGATGAAGACGGAGCGTCGACCGCCGTGGCTCGGAAGGCAGCCGACTGACGTACCAACTCAGTCCACGCAGTCTACCCAGGTGTGTGTGTGTGTGTGTGGAGTGGTGCACTGGTGGGCTAAGAACCAGGCTGTCACGGCCCATTCTCAAGTGATCTGTTACACTTTCATGCATGCGGGTTTGTATGTGGGCCTTATGGGTAGTGCCTCTCGGTCGACGACTGTTTGGTTACCCAGCCTTGAAGGGTGACGGCCCAGGCTCAATGCAAGGCCGCGTGTCGCACTTCTAGTTTAAAAGGTCTCAAAGTGTGTGCTATGCCAGTATCAGCAATCCATGGTCCTCGAATCCTCTTATGCACTGGAAGCTCACTGACAACTGGTTCCCTGCAGGTAGGTGCGTTTATGCTCCTGCAAGGTATACAGGTAGTGGGCATGGCTACCCAGTCATCATCCTCGTCCCTCTGACCGCTGTTGTGGTGTTGTTGTTGTTGTTGGCGAAA